CCCGCTGGCTCCATTAGGATGCATCGTGCCAGAGGCTGCCGAACACCAAACCTTCGAGCAGTCCTCCTAGGCGCCCATACGTCCTCTGGGCCCGTTTGCGCGCGCTCGATATTTAGCCTCCCATCTCGTGGGCGCCCAAACGCGTCGTGCCCCTGCTCGGAGGCATACGGCGGTCCGTATTGCAGAGACTCTGCATCTTCCCCCATTCTTTCCCGCTTTCTCGCCCCTGGGCTGTACATCATCACATCTTCACTTCGTTCCCCTTCCAACTCCCTCTTGAGCGCCGCTATGGCCCGATCTTGGTCGGCTATGATTCGAAACAACTCTCTTTTCGTCAAAGACTCGCCATCATCAGCGGAAAGGCGCCTTGGGCTTCCTTGTCCCTCCCCATCCATGCTCCTCTCTTGACTCAGTTGACGCTCGCCTCCTTCGTGATCCGAGTTCCCCGACCTGGAATCGCCTTCTCCATCGTTCCCTTCGTTCATGTTTTCCATGCGCCTACCGTTTTCGTGCGCCTTCTTCCCCTATCTGGCGCGCCAATTGTTTGAGCCCAGATACCTTCGCACGCTTATCCTCCACGTTTCCACTTATCCGTCACTCGGGCGCCCTGAACCTGCACCCACAAGCGCCTAAGGGCCTTGGCCGACCCGTTAGCACTCCGAAGCTCAAGTCAGTGCACCTTTCTAGAGAGATATGCGTCGAAGAATAGTTTAGTGAGAGAAGCCCCTCTCCGTAAATGCTATTGACTGCCCCTATTTATACTCACCGAACCCGAGGTTGATCTCCGCCACGTCACCTCCCTCATTCAATGCTCTGCGCCCCCAGACAGCTAACCGCCCTGTCAGACTCCTGACACCTGACTGGCATTCCACAGCTCTGCCAGGCTCCTGACACACGACAGGCGCCCGCAGGCCGTGGTCCACCAGCCATTTGGTCGCCATCTGGCCTTTGGTGCTCTGTGTGACAGCTAATCGCCCTGTCAGACTCCTGACATCTGTCAGGCGCCCCAGGCCGTGGTCCACCAGCCGGTTGGCCGCCACCTGGCTCTTGGCACTTTACTCTTAAGGTCCCTTTTCTTGGGCCCGAGGGCCACTAATGAATATTGGCTCTTACCCTTTTGGGCTTTCTCCCCTAGTTCTCTCTTTGGGGAGCCCAATCTCTTAGCTCGTTGGGTAATACCCCCACATATAAGGAGATTCCGGGCCATGAGTTGCTTAAACAATAAATTGGAGCTATGTGCGTAACTCACGGAAGGCTAGAAACGTCTTTCTATTCTTTTGTTTTTACAATTCTACATTTATTTTACAGAGGCCGGAGGGAGAAAGAGTTCCATTGTGCCGGCTTCTTTTATGTTTTTTTTTTTTTTTTTTGCAGAATCCTCTTTATATTTAGTTTAAGGCAAGGTTGTCAAACCGGTTTATACCATTGTGCCGGTTTTGCAAGTGGAATGGTACGACCGGTGGTATAACCAGTTTGTACTGGTTCATGCCGATTTAAAAAAATGTGAAAATAATTAATATCCAATGTATTTAATCATATATAAAACATTTTTGTGGACAATTTAGTTACAATCCAACAAATATCATCAACTTTTAACTATTAAATTCATAAAATGAATAATAAATTAGTTTTTTATTAATTAAATTCATTAAAATGATGTCATTTTGCTTAGAATGTGTAAGTCGATCATACCAGTCATACCGGTGGTGTCATGCCGGTTTCATGATCGGCACAGGTTGAACCAGGTTCAACCGGGTGGCATGCCACCGGCATGACAACCATGGTTTAAGGTTATAACATTTTACTTTTGGTACCTATTACTATTAGTAAAATGAGGAAAAATATTATGTAAATTAAAATGACTTTACTAATGTTATAGTCACTCTAAGTTCTAACTAGATCTCTTTCATTGTCAATAAAAAAGACTGACACCTAAAGATGTTAACCTTCACATCAAGTTGGTGGACCTTAACAATCACAAGGCCTACCATTTGATACTTAGATGGACCTTCATCTACTATATAAAATGCAAGGCTACAAATTTTATTTGTATAGACATGTTTTGGAACGGTCGACTTAAGGAAGAATGCAATCAATAGTTATAAGCCACACAAAATATATTATATATTATAACTATATTGGTTGACCTTATCGATCAAGAGATTGATTGAAGTTTTCCAACAGACTCCACGTAAGTTCTACTTGGAATTTGACCAAAAGCAAATAGGTATTCCGCAACCAAAATATAAGGTGTCGTTTGGAGAACATGATTTAGGGCGTGAATTCCCCGAATCTTTAGATGTTGTAGAATTTTTTTTTTGTTGCTTTTTGTATTGCAAATTTTAGTTTTATAGATTTCAATCTCTAAAATATAAGGATATAAAATCTCTCATAATCAAAGAGATTTGTATCTTAATTCGTGACAGTTTTTTAAGTAATAAAATTGTACTAAGAAAATTTTAGGAAACTTTTTTTAAGGTGAGCAAAAATGGTTTTTCACTTTTGTAAATACCACTGAATTCTTGCTTTCAATTGTATGTAGGAGATGATGATTAGGCTTCTAATCAGGGGCGGAAGTTTGATTTGCACGTTGCAGGTGATCAGAACCAAACCGTACATTTTGTGGGTAATCATACCCACAATTTGTGGATAATGGGTTGGGTGTGTTTAATATTGATTTTTGTGGTTAGTGATTAACCACTACCCACAATGGTTAACCCACAAAATCCACAATAATCACAAATTTTATTTATTATTAATATTTTGTTATATTTTAGTGTGTGAAAACGGCAAGGCTACAAATTAAAGTAGCATAAAAAACCAAATACGCATAATTTATAAAACAAAATCAAGTCAATACACAGTGTCTACGTGAGATACTTTTATTAAATAAGCATTGTGTGGTATATGTTTATTTTACAACAAAATCAAGTCAATAAATTTGGTTTATAGTTTATTTAACACTTTATTAACATTCTTTTATGTATGTTTTTGTTTTATGTGACAAGAAACACAACATCGCTATTTAATATCATATTACTATATTCAATAATGAAACTTTTGTGGGTATCCACATCCAAACTGCATCAACCCGCAATGGGTAGTGGTTAACCACTATCCACTGTGGTACGAGTTGTGGGTAGCATAATTTTATATTCGTGTGTGTTGTTAACCGCAAAATGTGGGACAGGTAATCACACCCACCCTAATTTCCACTCCTATTTCTAATGGTGAAGGCAGTACATTCGGTGATTGATGTTCTTGACATTTTTGAAAAATGAAGATATAGTTCATTGTGGAGATAGAAGTATCTGTATTAGCTAGAAAGGGTAAATCTGAAATAATATTCATTACTTGAGAGGTAATTTCTAATCGATATTTTCTCTGAAGACATTTTATAGAAATTGATTCCCTGCATGAAATTTCAAACTTTTGATAATGACATATCACAAAAAATTATGATTCATGATCTCTTTTTATTTTCCAATAATTAAATGTTTGAACTGTTTTATGATAACAAATAAAAACCTATTTTTCTTTAGATAATTATTATTGTTGTTTATATCATTTATAAATATATTCGGCCAACGGGCCGGGTCTAAATCTAGTTTTCTTAGTGAACAGTAATGAGAATTGAGCTTTATATATAGTAATATGCCAAAACAAAGATATTTGTACCCATTCGAATAAGTAAAAGGATGGCCTTGGATATAGATATATGTGCAATCATAATCAGCAGGCACATGAATCGTCAAACCACTCTACAAATTAACATGGTGGACTGGAATATCTCTTAGATGCAGAAGAGATTTAACAAATGCTTACTACTAAAGAGAAGTTATTAATACCATGCCATAGAAAGAGCATCAGGTGTACGTCCTAAGTTGCTTCTCACAACTGAAAGTTTATGATGTTCCTCTAAAATTAACATGGCAAAATCTTATTCCAAATGCCATAATAAAAGCTATAGTGTAGCCTTAATTTAATTATATTGAAAGCAAAATGATCCATTGATTAGTAAATACCAACAGTTATGAGGAAAAGCATAAGGGATAAATATGGACAAAGAAATATAAATTATGATGGACCAAGTTTTAATAAAATCTACTGACCATCGAAGAAATTGTACGGAACCCAAAAAAAAGGAGGTTGGAACAATGAGGAAATCAATAGGGGAAAAGTTAAATAAAGTTGAAGTTCAACGTATTAACTTCAAGAACGACTTAATATGTAGTTTCCGTTTGAACAGCAAGTATACACGTCACAACACAGAACAAGGGAGGAAACCAAAGGAGAAAATGAAGCCAAAGCCCTGGAAATGAAACCGCAACAAAAGAAAAAAGAAACAGAAAGGAAAAAAAAAAAAGGAAAAGCCAAGAGGAGCAAGCACTACACGAAAGCGCAAGGAAAAGGAAAGCTGAAAATGAAAATCTTTAGGGCCACCGCCGGTCTCATGACAGAAGCCGACGGCAGCCCATTTTCAATTTGAAATTGAAACTCTAGTGAGAAGGGAGAGGAAAGTAAAGGTAGAGAGAGAGAGGAAAAAAGGCTTTTTGTTCCTCTTCCATCCTTGGTGATGATGTCGTTCTTGTCTCCCTTGTGGAGATACTTTTGCTTCCCACCATTCTGGTTTTCAGATCTGTGTGGATGTCTCTCTTGGTAGGTGTTTGAGGGAGTCGATTTCAACGGCTCGCTAACTCCTCTCTGGGTCATCATCTACCTCCTATTGTTTCATCCATAAATGGGGATGATTCGGAGATGCATGGACCTTTTTTTTTTTGTCTTGGATGAGTTTTCAGAGGGCTTGTGAGCAAGGAAAGTCATCTTTGAGATTGGGAGTTCAGTCGTTCGCTCAGATCGGCAGGTTTCAGCCGCCACTCCTCTCACCAAGACCCGGTTGAGCTTTTCTGGTTTGCTTGTGTGTGCAGGTGGATCTCAAAGCTGATCCTGAGTTTGGTTCTCCCGATGAGGCTGCTGCTGCTTCGTCTCTCTTGTAGCGCCCTTGTGCTCCTCGGTGTCTGACCAAGGGTTGGCAGGGATGTCGCTGCCGGTTTGCTCTCGACAGTGGAGGATGTGAACGGCAACCTTTCTCTGGTGATTGGGCTAGTTGTTGTTAGGGTTGATGGGGGTGGGCTTGTCCAATTGTTTTGGACGGGGTTTGGGACTTTGCGGTTTTGGGCCTGTGTTGGTTCACCTCCTTTTTTCGATCTTGGCTCAGCTGGTTTTTTCCTTCCTTTCATTATTGTCAAACTTTGTACACCTTGTTTCGTATTAATGAAAAAGCCAACCATCTTTCAAAAAAAAAGTACACACGTCACTTTTCCCAAACAATTTTGGACAAAGAAGCTTTCAACGTTTAGAGGATTCCCTAATTGCATTTGAATTTCAGTGGTTGTCTAGAATATAACAATCTAAAGGTTGTTGTGCTGTTTTGATGGAATCATACCTGATACATATGAACTGCTACCGCGAGGAAACAAAGTAGAAACAACGTGACTGTTATACAATGCAAGTTTGGTAGCCCATGTAATCATCATTAGCCAAAAAAAAGTGCAAGTACTTAATCATAATCACACTTATGCAATAAACAGTCAAGCAATAAGCCTTATATCCAACTAGAAATTGGACCCTCCATCTTAGCCCTCCAACTCAAAATATACGTGAGGAACAAATATATTCCATCAAGCTTGATCTAAAAGCTACAACTTCAATCATCAAGTAATTCGTTGAACCAAGCTTCATGTAAAAATCATACGTACCCATCATGTAGTTTGAATGCAACATATATAATTTCTATATGAAAGCAAAGCAAACGTACCATTATCTATGAGGAAGCAACACAAACTTCAGAGGGGCTTCTCCTGAAGTTGCATAGATATGTTAAGTAGTTGGACAACAGACCAAAATCGAAGATGTGAAAAAATTGGTCCAGAATGAACAATTGCGTCGGGAATACCAAGGAAAGTGTAGTTGCAGGGATGGGAACACAATAGGGTATGTAAAGGGACAGAGGCGGAGCACGGAACCAAACGGCGGCTGAAGAAATTCGAGCAAGGAAGGAATTTGTGGAAGGGAAAATTACCTACGGGAATTCAAAGAAGTGGACAGGTGGATGATTGCAGCGTTGGTGATGTGTAGAAGTCGGCCGTATGCGGAGGATCTGAGGGTCTTACGAACTGTGGTCGTGAGGGAATGTGCGGTTGGTATTGGAAAGGGAAGAATAGGCAAGACAAACCATCGCCGCGACGGTAAAGAGATTTTGGTCGCAATCTAAGAAACAAACCGCGTTGGAAAAGAGAGAAGATTGGAGTTCTGTTGTGGGTCGACAAAGAGAGAGGAGATCTGAAAATTGGGGAGGAAGGTGTTAGTTGAGTCGAGCGCGAGACTCCGACGTAGATTCCCTCTATTTCTGATCACTCCTGACCCTGTATAACCCTAGATCGACCTTGACAAGAACAAGTGAGAAGAATGGGAAGAAAGCTGAAAATGAATCGATGAAGGAGATCAAGTCACTTCCCCTTTGTGTTTGCCAAACGACAGCGAATATGAGATTTAATGCGGGCCGGGCTTGTTTTATTAAATTGTAAACACTGATCTGGGTCTGCTTCTCTATTTGGCATGCATCGTTTTATGAACCAGATTTCCTTCTCCACTTCTCAAGCAAACTCGATTAACCTGCTGCTCTGCACAAGAGCTAACCAAAAACCAAACGAAGAACACAAAAGAAAAACTGGAAAACTGTAAAGCAGCGAATCAAAACACAATTGGACACAGACACTGTATTTTTACGTGGTATGTGGTGCTAGGTGATTAATGAACCTAACACCGACTAATCCACGATAGGAGACTCTCTTCTTGAGATCTCCTACTTAATCACTATGATTGAGTTCCTCTTACAGACTTGGTGAATCCAGAATCAGCTCCCTGCTGATCGACCAATTGCCTATCTTCTGGTGATTCAAACTCCCTGTTCAACCACCCTAGTTTTTCCCGCTAATCTCCCTGACTTGCTACAATGATTTACAAAAAGGCTACACCTCTCTTAGCACTCTGTTTTGTTGAATCGCTTTTAGAAAAACTTAACTGCTACTAATCTCTCATTCAAACTATATACGGTTGTGGATTTGAGAGCCGTTGAGGATGAATCAGCCTGATGAAGGCAAGTAATTTATTCTTTCCCTTTATACTTGATCACAATATGCACAGCTGGCCAGCTTTCCTTATTTGTCTCTTCATCCTTCGACAGGTGATGCATTCTGCAGCTTTCTTCTCTCAAAATTCTCCCCCTACGCATGTCATTTGCTCTAATGTGCTGATCCCACAATTCACCTGAACATCTTAACAAACGATTGGTGGAGCCTGTTCTATACATACCATTCATTCATAGTCACAACGAAACACTAGATAAAAGGAAGTTCATTTTATTTGAAAAAACTTCAGATATCTCTCAACTTATTCAAACTCTGACACCATGACCGACAGAGTTTCAAAACACCATGACCGACAAAACTTCAAAGCAAATACTATGACCAACAGAGTTTCAAGACGCCATGACCGACAAAACTTCAAAGCTACCCTAACTGGATTCTCCTTATGAACTCCCCCTAGACTGGTTCTCCACTTCAAAAATCATATTCTGGTGGAGATTCATAATCGGATATTCCCTCTGCTTCTTCATCCTGAGTGGTTGAAGAATCAGACTCCTTTGCCCTCTTGATCTGAGCATGATGAAACTCTAAACCAATTAGTTCCTTGCGCTTGATAGCAGTGATTCTGTCAAGTACTGCAGACGCAGCCTCCAGGAGTGCAGGAACCAATTGGCCGTCAGATGTTGCAGGAGCAACCTCCAAATGAGCAAGGGTATCAGAAGACTCTCCCCCTCAGCAAATGACAGGCTTTCTCCTACCAACTTGGGCATCAACACGAGCAAGGATGTGTTGAGCACGTAGGTCCTCTCAGACATCACACACAATTAGCTTATCACGAAGATCAATCCCTACCCTATGGAGAAGACGTGTGATTTGAGGACCAAAAGGGAGAGGTCCAGAGTAATTCTTGTCACCATAGTTGATCATATGAGCAAAAATAAGCACAGAGAAGTTGATTTGGATCCTATTGCGAGCATTGGCCATAATCAATGTAGTCAAAATCGCGCTTACAGCTTAAAAACTTACGATTTTACGTTTCTAGGTCACTAAAACGCTTCTACACAAAAACTTAGTTTTTACAACTTACCTAGTTAAAAACTCCGCTTTAAAACTTAAAAACTTACGATTTTACGCTTCTAGATTAGCAAAACGTTTCTACGTAGAAACTCGCTTTTGACTACATTGGCCATAATCCAAGCATCAGCAGGATGCACAAGTTCATTTTGAGAAATACTGCGAGGGAGCAGTATCCTTGTGATGAAAAAGTGAAGTACCTTGAACTGATCAGCAAGACGACCAGCAGATAACATGGAAGGATAGTACCTTCCAATATCATGAGTAAGAGATTCCATGGCAGAACCAAAGTCAAAGCCAATGGAGGCAAAATCATCATTTGTGGCGGCAGAAGACCCAAGACAGGGAAGATCAAGAGTTTCACCCAGGAGGGAAGCTGTAACCTTGATATCATGATTGTACACCACAGTGGTGAAAAAGGTAAGACTGGAGCCAGGCCCACGCTTCAGGCTAGCATAAAACATTATGACTCCTTCAGGACACTGACTGAAACGTTGATTCTCAAAGAGAGAATCCCAGCCAAGCTTGTGAATGAGACTAGGAATGTCAATATCATACTTTCTGAAGGCAGAAGGTTGGATGGGAAACGATGGATAGAGTGGACGATTGTGAAAGTGAGATACCTAAGGTATCGAGAAGGCTTATAGAATCCTTGATTGTTGAAGGTGGCAGCAGGGTGCAGTTGAGAGTTGTTTGGGGCCATTGTAGAGAGATAGGAAGGCAATGGGAAAAGGTTATGAGTTGATGGTTCGAAGGCAAAGAGCTGAGGGTGATTATATAGAGTAGAAGTGGAGTGGAAGAGGAAAGAATTCTAGTGTAAGGAAGGGAAGGATTTGGGAAGACAGATATGGCAATAGGAAATGAGAGAAAGAAATCTTGTAGATCTCAGAAGATTTCATAGATTTCTTTGAGAAGAGACCCAGTTCTCTCCTAATGGGAATAAATTTTTCGGCTCCCAAAGGCTTAGTGAAGATATCAGCCTAATGAAAAACAGTGCTAATAAATTCAAGATGTATTTTCCCTTCCTGGACTAGATCCCTAATGAAATGATATCTAACCTCTATATGTTTAGTCCTAGAATGCTGAATTGGATTCTTTGTCATGTTAATAGCACTGGTGTTATCACACATGACAGGCAAAGATTCAAACTCAAGAGCATAGTCTTTGAGTTGATATTTCATCCAGAGAAGTTGTGTGCAACACAGACCAGCTGCAACATATTCTGCTTCTGCAGTGGAAAGGGCAATAGAATTCTGCTTCTTACTAGACCAAGCTATAAGAAAGGTATCAAGAAAGTGACAGGCACCTGAGGTGCTTTTTCTGTCCAAAGAGCATCCTGCGTAGCCTGAGTCACTATAGCTTATTAGTTCTAAGCTAGATGTGCTAGAATACTAGAGTCCTAAACTAGAGGTTCCAGCAAGATACCTAAAAATTCGCTTGATAGCAGATAGATGACTTTCCTTAGGATTACTCTGATAACGAGCACAAACACATACACTATACATGATGTTTGGTCTGCTTGCAGTCAAGTAAAGCAAAGAACCAATCATACCCCTGTACAGTCTACTGTCTATGCTTTTTCCTAATTCATCTTTGGTGAGCTTTATTGAGGACCCCATAGGAGTAGAGATGGTTTTTAGATTGTTAAGATTGAACTTTTTAAGCATATTATTGAGGTACTTGGTTTGACTAATGAAGATTCCACCTTTAGTTTGCTTAATCTGTAGCCCTAGAAAGAAGTTGAGTTTACCCATGAGGCTCATTTCAAATCCACCCTTCATTGTTTCAGCAAATTCTTTACACATTTGTTCACAGGAGGAACAAAATATTATATCATCTACATACACTTGTACAAGCAACATATCTTTACCCTTGTTCTTAATAAACAAAGTTTTATCCACTTGCCCCCTGTGAAACCCATCATTTATCAAAAATTGACTCAGTTTGTCATACCAAGCTCGAGGAGCTTGTTTAAGACCATACAGAGCCTTATTCAGTTTGTATACATAATCAGGGTGTTCATGATCTTCAAAACCAGGGGGTTGTTCTACATATACCTCCTCTTTTAAATCGCCATTTAGAAAAGCACTTTTTACATCCATTTGATATAATTTAAACCCTTTTGAGGCAGCAAAAGCACACAACAGTCTGATTGCTTCTAGCCTAGCCACTGGTGCAAAAGTTTCATCAAAGTCTATACCCTCCTCTTGGTTATAGCCTTGAGCAACCAACCTTGCCTTATTCCTTATTATAATCCCAATTTCATTAGATTTGTTCCTATATACCCATTTTGTTCCAATTATTGTTCTGTTCTTAGGTCTTGGAACCAAATCCCAGACCTTTGTTCTTTCAAACTGATGCATCTCTTCATGCATAGCAGCATTCCAGTATTCATCCTCTAAGGATTCTTCAATATTCCTAGGTTCTATTAAAGATATAAAGGCAGTGTGTTCAGGATAAGATTTAGAGCGAGTAACCATACCTTGGTTTATTCCTCCAATTACAAGAGAAGGAGGGTGCCGCTTCTGAATGTGAGGAGGAGCTTCTGGTAGATGTATATCTTCAGGAGTTTCTTCCTGTGTTGATTCCAGATTGACAGGAGCAGAAGTGACTCCCTTGGCTTGACTCAAACTGATTCCTAGATCATCATCATCTTCCAAGACTTCTGCACACTTACTTGCAGACTCATCAAACAACACATTAATGGACTCCTCAACCTTGAGGGTCCTTTTATTATAAACACGATATGCCTTGCTGTTTGTGGAATATCCTAAGAAGATTGCTTCATCAGACTTTGAATCAAATTTCCCCAGTTGATCCTTAGTATTAAAAACAAAGCACTTGCACTCAAAGGGGTGAAAGTAACCTAGATTAGGTTTCCTGTCTTTCCATA